GGCCCTAATTCTGAAATAGTCATCTCTTCCCTCCTTGGTGTCTGTATCTTTATAGAGGAAACCTTGTCAAGAGCAAGTGTCTTGTGTTTCTTTTTTCTCAACGTCTAGGATAAACCTTGGTTCACAGCAGTATGAAAGCAGTTTTGAGTGATGCTAATTAATTTCCATATTGTTTATTTATTTAGTGCGAAGCACCGCGCCCCTGAGTCTGCACTCTGTGCGCTTGCACCCAGCTACCGAGCTTCAGGCAAGGGGCTAGAGGTTAAAATATACAGACACACACAGACAGAGAGACAGCGGCTCGGGTCATCCTTGAATTCCCCAAGAATGCCCCCTTTATTGTGTTCAGGGGCAGATTATATAGAGATAGCCACACCCCAGCCAAACCCACCAGAAACCACTCTCCTGCCATTAGGAACTCCTGAAGATCTCATGCTCAGAGCAGCTGTAGGCACTCAGATCAGGGAATTACAAGAAATTCAGGATCTGGGGGTCTCACTGCTCCCAACAATTTAGTACTTTTGTGGGTCAAACTCAGATTCTTGAACATTGTAGGCCAATGTTCTCCCACTGAGCTGTATTCTTAGTCCCAAATGGACTCTTAAAAAGAAAGAAAAATAAAAAATACTTAAGTATTAGAATATAATAAAAACAATCATAATTAATAATGCCTTAAGCTTACACCTGATTTAAAGAGTCATGTACTGGGCTGTAACAGATGTTTAAACATCTTACTATTACTTTGTCTTATCAGCAAATACAGAGGCTCACTGTATCTGCCTTTAGACTTGGGAGAACGGTGGAATGTGAATCCCTAAAAGGCACAGGGGAGGGATGGTACCAAAGGGGAAAGATGTGTGTGTGTGTGTGTGTGTTTGCATGCAACCTGCACAAAAAATGTGTAAGGTTAAGCAGCAAAAGCATCCTCTGAAGACATCTCACTTTTCCTTCCCGTACAAATTCAATATGCTCCAACATATCCGTCTATAAAGAAAGCTAAAGCTGCCATTGTGCGCAAAGGCATTAGCCAGTTGCTGTCACCCAAGGCAGATCGCTGTGTGTCCACCATGCGCTTCTGCTCCAGGCTATTCTAGGAAGCTTCTGGATTCTAATCTAAAAGCGGTATCTGGAAAAGAGATAATAATTTGTGTTCACATAGCAGTTTTCATCCAAAGGACTTAAATCACTGCACAAAGATATAAGTATGACTATCCCAGATGGAGCCAGTCAGACAGAGGGACTACTGCCCCTGTCAGCAGGTCGGAGAGAAGGAGCCCCTGAGCTCAGAGCACAGCCCTACACCATAAATTACTGAGTCGTGGCCTCTCTTGATTGGGGGCTGGGCTATTAATGATGAGATTTTTTTTTCTTAAATGAAGTAGAATATCAGGCTTTAGAATTAAGAATTTTAGCATATGCCCAAAACATGAAAATGAATGCTTTTGAAACTGCTGCCTTTGAGGCTGCCTGGTTATTTAAAACGAGAAACTGGTAAATTAGTTTGGTAAGTGTTGTTCTAAGTGGATGCTGCATCTATTTATTTATTTATTTATTTATTTATTTACAATCCACAACAAATGGGATGAGACAGGAACTATTTTCACTTCACACATTTTGCGGTTGAGGATAATGTGTGGAAGAAGAGAAAAAGAACCAGGATTCAGAGGGAGGCAGCTCGACACCTCCTTCTGGTTAGCGAGCACTCTGTGTCAGCTACCTTGTGAGACGTTCTGCCGGTACTGGGCTTTGAACCTAAGGCACCAGTCATGAGAAGCAAGCATTCTACGGGGGAACTACAGCCTCGGTCTTTGTGTGAATCCATTCAAATTATCTCAGTGTTTGTTCACCAAATGCTAAGAGGTGGCTAGATTGTCAGCCCAGTAAAGGTTTACAAAGGCACAGTAATTTGTCTGAGCTCACATGAAGCTAGGATTTTGAAAGCAGACAAATGGTTGGTAGGCAAGAAGGAAGTCTTAGGATTGCTCCTGCCACGAAGTGGTTGTGTGACCCCGAGTCCATCTGTAGATTTTGCATCTTCGTATCTTCCCCTGTATAAGGAGGATACATACTGGGGTGCACTGCTGTGAACTCCGGTCCACTGCCAAAGTTCTGGGGCTCCGTAACTGTTTTCTATTTAGTCCCTTGTTTGAAATCCTTGGAGGGGAAAAAAAAAAAAACCACACCGAACCTGAAAGTGACTCTGGCGGCCAAATTTAGAAAACAGATTTCGAAAGGAGAGAAAAAAAAAAAGCAGTTTACAAAATGTCTTTATTTAGAAAGTGAGACTGTCCTGCCCAGAGTCTGTTCAGTTTGTGACTCAGTGACCAGATACAGGCCACACTACTCCCCCTGCCTGGCCACTTCTCCTGGCTGAAAGTCATAGAACCTAAGTCAGGGGTCCTTTCTGCCCATGGACTGGCCCAAACTGGAAGAAACCCATCTTGCGTGGGAGGCCCTGAGAGAGAAGCAGCCAAGGTTTTCATGTGGGTGTTCTATCTTGAATTCAGAATGTCTGTATCTTTTCGTCTACCTCTGTTTTTGTTCTTAGTGGTTATTATTTAGTGACACAACCCACTGCTCACATGAACCAGTTTTTTTTTCTCTTCCACAACCTTATGGTGAGCTATGGGGACACTCACAAGACTATTTTCCATACCTCTGTGTGGCTCTTGTTCAAAAGGATTGGTTTGGGCTGAGATGCCTCAGGTGATAAAGGCACCTGCAATCAAGCCTTATGACTCAACTTTGAGCCTTAGTGCACACACACACACACACAATAAATAAATAAATAGATAGATAGATAGATAAATAAATAAATAAATGTAATATTTTTTCAGTGTGGGTTTGAATTTGTGGTAAGCCTTAGCAATGAAAATCACTTATGAGTCAGACTTGATGGCACGTGCTTTAATCTCAGCACTTGGGTAGTGGAGCAGGTGGATCTCTGTAAGTTCAAGGCCAATGTGGTCTACATAATGAGTTTCAGGATAGCCAAGGTTATGTTAAGAGGCCCTGTCAAAAGGATAAAGAAAGAAAGGAGAAAGAAAATTAGTTACATGCTCACACTGCCTCCACTTTACTTGTCTTTTTGTAAAATGATGCTCACACGACACCAAACAGCATAATGTTCATGGACGTCATTTGGATAAAAGTGAGTCGCTGTGATAATGAAAAGAGGGCTTTGATAATGCCTCTTATCCAGAGAGACTGGCAGGGGTGTGCATGATGCCAGTGCTTTGGCAACGGACAGTCCCTAGCTAGAATCCTGTCATTTGGGCAGGTTATTCCGACTCTATAGGTGTTTTTAAGTTTGTAAAACACTAGGTTGTTGAAGCATGGAAAGACTAGTCATGAGGTGGCTGACATAAACTAATAAGTGGAAATCATCGTTGTAGTTATCAGTTACTAAATCACGATGCAGAGCCGTGAGGTTCAGAGGATTGATTGTCTGAGACAGATGTCCTGTGGAGAAATGAGCTGCCCAAGACACTGCACACCCTGCTCTTCTACACTCAATAGAAGCTAATTCTGCAAAAAATTATCCTCAAACACACCACATCTTGATGAAAGGGGGACAAGTGTCTTTCTTCTCTTTAGACACCCTGCCTGAGTCTGCATCTTCTATGACCGTAGGAATTCAGTCACTGTTAAGGAGATCAGGCCTTTCCTTTACATTTAAAGGCACTGAGATGGTTGTAATTCCAGGAAATTATTTTTATGTGTTTTATTTTTTGACATTGGGTCTCCTGTATCCTTGGATGACCTTCACCTGACTGTGTAGCCAAGGACGACCTTGAAATTCTGACCAGGGTGTTTCTGCTTCTCAAGTGATAGGATCATAGGTGTGTGCCACTATGTTGAGTCTGGGCAGGGCTGAGAATCAAATCCATGCTAGGCGAGCACTCTACCAATTGAACTGCATCTCTTCTGTGTATAAGTAGTGTTTTGCTTGCATGTGTGTGCACCACATGCATGTCTGGAATCCACAGGGGTCAGAAGAAGGCACGGGATACCCTGGAACCAGTACTACTGTGGAAGATTGTGAACCAAGGTTCTGGGAATGGAAGCTTGTTCCTCTGCAAGAACAACCAGTGTTCTTAACCTCCGGGTCTCCAGTACATACCCCTCATTTTTGTTTTAAACCAGATTTTCTTTTAAGTTTGTTTGTTTGTTTTGAGACAGAGTTTCACTAGGTATCTCTGGCTGTCCCAGAACTTGCTATGGGACTCAGGCTGGTCTCAAACTAACAGAGATTCACTTGTCTCTTTATCCCAAGAACTGGTATTAAAGGCATACACTACCATGCCTGAATGCTTTTTTTTTTTTTTTTTTTGAGACAGTGTTTCTCTGTAGTTTTGGAGACTATCCTGGAACTCACTAGAGCAGGCTGGCCTTGAACTCACAGAGCTCCATCTGCTTCTGCCTGGGATTAAAGGTGAGTGCCACCACCGCCCGGATGCCTGATTGCTTTTAAATTAGTAATTTAAAAATATTGTGTGTGGGTGTGCATGTCTGCATAGAGGTCAGAGGACAGTTTCTCGGAGCTGGTTCTGTCTCTCTACCATGTGAGTCCCGGGGACTAAACTCAGGCCCTCAGCTCGGCGACAAGCACTTTTACCAGCTCATCCATCTTGCCAGCTCAACTTTTGTTAATATGCAGAAAGTCCTAGTGTGCAATAATTCCTTACCATGCAGAGATTCTGCTCTCTTTCCCTGGGAATCACTAATATAAGTCACCAGTTATCAATCTCATTCGACATAGGTTTTGCCCCTTTGTGCTACGCATTGTTCTCAGTACCTTAGACACGCCGTCTCGTATCAGTCGCAACCTCCCACTCTCATTTTAAACGTTATCTCCTCAGAGAAGCCTTCCTTGCTCCAAGCTGACCTTGTCTCCACCTTTCCATTATTCCCTATCATTTCATCCTGTTTATTTCCTTCGGAATACCGATCACTATACGCAATTAGTTACTGATTTCACTACTCGTTTACCACTGTCCCTCCAGCCAGACGAAGGGCTTTGAGAGCAGGGTCCTTGTTGAGTTGGCTTTCCTCAGAAATATCTCAGAGAATCCAGAAGCAGGGACAGTGGCTTGATTTGGCATGGAGGCAAGGTGAATTGATTATTTATTGAATAGTGCATTGAATAGCAGTATGAAGTATATTCTTTTATTTTCTCCACTCCTCTAATGAGGAAACTGAGAACTAGCAAGTCAAATGAACTCATGCTGAAGCTAGGAATGTATAGAACTGGTTGAAAAATCCGGTTCTCCTTGACCTCAGGGTCCAAGTTATTTACTTCTCGGGCCCCAGAAACAAAAGACTGAACCGCCGCTGCTGTGTGTGCTCTTAGGTCTCTTTGTCTCTCTGCAACTCTCCTTTTCATTGGAAAATGAGAGGTGGAGTTAGACATCCTCTTTATAGCAATATTTTGTCATTTATGGTATCTATGACTGAAGGAAGTCAACGAAGGAACTGGGAAAACTGGCTTGAGGCCTTTAAGAGTGCTGATCTTGGGGCCGGGGAGAATGGCTCAGCCGTTAAGAGTGTGAACTGCTCTTGCAGAGACTCCAGGTTAAATAGTCAGTGTCGTATCTCAGACATGCTTCTTCAGGCACCTGTGCTCATGAGCATGCACACGCACGCATGTAACTATAAAATAAAATTTAAAAAGAATACTGAGCCCAGAGGGGGTGATGCCTGCCTTTAGTCACATCTCTTAGGAGGCAGAGACAAGTGGATCTCTGAGTTCAAGGCCAGCCTGGTCTACAGAGCGAGTTCCAGGACAAGCAGGGCTGCACAGGGAACCCAGTCTTGAGAAACCAAAATGAAAAAGAATACTGATCTTCAGTACTCCCTGCCCCCTTTTCCCTTTCCTTCACTGAAGATTTGCTGATTGTGTGGGTTTTTTGTTTTCTTCCTAGACAAGGTTTCTCTGTAGCTTTGGAGCCTGTCCTAGAACTAGCTCTTGTAGACCAGGCTGACCTCGAATTCACCGAGATCCACCTGACTCTGCCTCTGGAGTGCTGGGATTAAAGGTGAGCGCCACCACTGCCCGGCTGATGATTGTGTTTTATGTGTTGGTTGTCACAGGGATCCAAAGACTCAGAGAACGTAGACCTTGGCATTACAGCTGCTGGAAGTCCTGTGGGGCCAATCCTGTGACAGTGTGGTTTGTGAGGATCAGGGTGACACGGGGAGGGTGGGGTTAATTCCATCAGGTGTGTACATGTTGATTGTCGTGGCGATAAATATGGACTTGTGTGTGGGGGACGGGTGTAATGCTGACCTGGGCCTTAAGGAAAGAATAGTTCCCCAGAGGGACAAGCCAAAGGTGAGGCTTCCTGGATGCGCAGAAAGAGCAAGAACAGCCTGGACTGTTAAGGCAAGGAGTTAGCTACCAGGCTAGCGGAGCAGAGGAGAGCCCCCTTTTGCCTTCTACTCTTTCACTTAGAAAGCTCCCTGGCTGAGGTCTCTACAAGTGTGGTGAGGTAAAAGGTGTGAATGCCATTAGGAAGCTTGACAGTGCTCAGACAATTCACAATGAAGACTTGGCCTTAAGGTGTTTGTGACATTTGGAGAGGAAGGAGATGGATTAGAGGCTTTTGAGGGAGGAACTGCAGGACTTGGTGACTGAATGGCCGACAGAGACTAGGGACTTAGAATGGACCGGTGCCCAAGTATAAAGTGTGACCATTTAGAAATAGAGGGACTTTGGAGTCAGGTGGCAGAGGTACCACTGTTCTGTTTGGATAATCAGTTTGAAGTGTCACTTAAGAGAGCCAAGAGTCCAGCACCCACCTTCTCTTCACCCTGCAAGAGCTGTCCTAGCCCGAGTCAGTCATTTTTGGGCTAATTTCCCTGTGCCCCCCCCCCCCCCCGGGGAATCAAATTCTCAGAGTTAAACTCGCCTTTCTGAGCCTGACATCCATCCAGGATAACAGCAGCATATGGAAAACTTCCTGGGCCCCCACTGACAAACGCGTGGATTGTGGAAGACATGTTTGTATCAGACAGTGGCTTTTGCAAACACCAGATTACAGAGAAACCATTTCCATGGAGCTTTCTCTGGCCCTGACAGGCTCTGACTCTAAACTGGCTCCTAAGAGCTATCCCCCACCCCCTCCGCACACACATTTAAGGAGCGGATTTTTAAAAAGGAAATGGGGTTGTATAACGTGCAGCCTGGTTCCCCTTGACAACTGGAGAAAACCCTGAGTTTGAGTGGCCGGACCCACTTCCACTCATTACCTCTGGAGACAAGACTTCTTGTGGCCCTAATCCTTGTAAAATGAAGGGACTGGAATCATATGTCTCAGCTCAAATATCCAGCGGTCACCAGGCGGTGGCAGGGTCGAGCAGGTGGACTCTTAGGGGGGCTGTTTCCAGGGTCCTCTTTAGGGAAGAAGACGGCCTTGGAGGCAAGCACTCCATCCCGGCCCTGGCTACTTCCCTCATAATTACAGCCTAGGGCTGAAGACAGGGGCACGCCCTGTGTCCTACACCCCTATTCCTGGGATGCTATCAGAAGCCTCTACATTTCTCCACCCTCTCCTCGCGGCACTAAACCCCACTGTCATGCTTATAAATCCCAAGAGCAAAGGGTGGCACGATTCCTCCCGCGCCCCTGCGGGCTGAAGGCGGGCACTAAAGCAGTGCAGTTCCAAGCTTCCCCTGCAGAAGCCACGCTCCTGACTTGGTCCGGGGATAGAGGGGGCGCGAGAGAGCAAGTGGGCGGGCGTCCCATCCTCCGCATCCTCCTCCAAGTCCTGGCGCGCAGGGAGGGAGCGCTGCGCTGCGCCGGGCTGCGCATCGCGGCCCACTTGCCGCCTGTCCCCTGCCCTGGCTGGGCCACCTCCCCGGGCTGCCGGTGGAGGGCTTCGAGGCGCTAACGTTACGCTGTTTCCGGTTTTCCAGAGGGCTCTGTTTCCCCTCCCAAGGCGGCGGCGGCTGAGCGGCGGAGCCCCCCAAATGGCCTGGCCAGATGCGGCAGGTTTGCTGCTCAGCGCTGCCGCCGCCACTGGAGAAGGCTCGGTGCAGCAGCTACAGCGACAGCAGCAGCAGCAACAGCAGCAGCAGCAGCAGAAGCAGCAGCAGCAACAGCAGAAGCAGCAGCAGCAGCAGCAGCAGCGAGAGCGGCGGCAGCAACAGCAACAGCGGCAGCAGCATCTCCCGTCCCGCTGCGCCCCCAGAGCCGCGGCCGCAGCCGCAGCCGCAGCTCCGCAGCCCCGCAGCCCCGAGAGCCGCCGCCCGCTCGCGAGCCGCAGCCGCCGGCGGCATGAGGCGCGACCCGGCCCCCGGCTTCTCGATGCTGCTCTTCGGTGTGTCGCTCGCCTGCTACTCGCCCAGCCTCAAGTCGGTGCAGGACCAGGCGTACAAGGCACCCGTGGTGGTGGAGGGCAAGGTACAGGGACTGGCCCCGGCAGGCGGCTCCAGCTCTAACAGCACCCGCGAGCCGCCCGCCTCGGGTCGGGTGGCGCTGGTGAAGGTGCTGGACAAGTGGCCGCTCCGGAGCGGGGGGCTGCAGCGCGAGCAGGTGATCAGCGTGGGCTCCTGTGTGCCGCTCGAAAGGAACCAGCGCTACATCTTTTTCTTGGAGCCCACTGAGCAGCCCTTAGTTTTTAAGACGGCCTTTGCCCCGGTCGACCCTAACGGCAAAAACATCAAGAAAGAGGTGGGCAAGATCCTGTGCACTGACTGCGGTGAGTCGCCCCCTCCTTCTGCTGGAGAAAGGGGGGGAGGAGGGAGGTGGTGGAGGATGGGGGTGGGGCGGAGAGGTGCCGCAGGTGCCCAGGCCTGGCAGCGCTCGGCCGCCGGGGGGTGGGGCCGCCCCTGGACAGGGCGCCGGTCGCGGGTGGGTGAGGGTGTGGGCTTGGGGAGAAGGAGAATAAGGCTCAAAGTGTGTGCTAGGGGCGATAGCTGGTGGGGAGGCGCTGGCCTGTGCCAACAGGGATCTGCGGCTGATGTATGGCATGTGGGGCTGGAAAGCTGCCATCATAGCCCAGTAGCGGAAGGGAAAACGGTGAGGTCCGGGCGGCGCTGGCCTGAGGCTCAGTGAGTCAGGAGTGACCCTCGGAGGCCTCGCCCGCTCCGCTCCCGGGGGCCTGCCTTGGCCAGGCTGGCAGGGTCTACAGGAGCAGCTGGGCAGACTCTCAGGCTGTGAAGGCCTCCGCTTACAAGTTCTCCTAGGGAATGATCGCCCCCGCCCCCTCCTTCCTCTCCCGGCTCGTTGCTCTGCTCATCCACACCGCTGGCGCAGGGAGAGTTGGACTTTTTCTGCTACTGTTCCGTTCTCCGTGTGTCTCTGGGCTATTTTTTTTCCCTCCGTCGTGCTTCGCCTGTTTTGCTAAGCGAGTAGTTATCTGTCCCTTCTTAGCCCTCAGCACCAGCCAGCAGACACTCTTTTAGCAGTTTGTGAAGTGTCTCACCTGGTCCTGGTGGTGGTGAGGAGAGAGTAACTTGCTTTGGCTGAATGTTTGAAGTTCAGCTCTGACACCTTCCTGGCGTATTGACCGCGTTTATCTTCCCAATGTTGGGTGCTGTACAGGAATGCTGGTGGTTATAAAAGAAACACAAGCCTGCACATCTGTGCAGCCCCAGGGTGAAGGGCTCTCATTCAGAAGTCAAGAAATGACACTTTAACAGCTTTGTCTTGTTGTCCCCAAGTCCCACTGATTTCTCAGTAAAACATTTCTTTAAAGGCTGAATCCGCGGTGTTTAGTGTAACCCAGGACTCTTGGATCCCTGAATTGTGATAGAGCTCCCGAACTCGCATAGAAGTTGGTGTATTTACCAGTTTATTGACCGAACCTGGGTAGCATAGACAGGCTTGACTAGCCAAAAATAAAATAAAATAAAAAAATATGTGTAACAGCTAGTTGGAAAATCTGCTTTCATCTTTCTAGAGCAATCAATGCCTTTGGCTTTTGGAAGCTTCCCTCCCCCTACTCCTCTAAGAGGCAAATTTTAGACAGTTAGTTGTGGGAGTGTATCTAAGCACTGTGCTAAACCCTGATCACTTTAATGAGAAGAATCTTGCAAGTGTCTTAGCATGGAGAGAGAAGCTTGGGGAAGGACAGCAGTTTACGGTTTGGTTTTTGGTTATTATTCTAAGCAATATTATTGCCTGCTTTTTTTTAAATTTGGGTTTATGCTCTGAAAAGTTTTGTGATGACGACTTGAGACCAGCTAAGAATTTCACTCTCTTCTCGTTTTTAATTCTATTAAGTACTTTATCTGAGGTCTCTTGGGGAATTGTGGAACTAACTGTATCTTGCAGTGGGAAGTAGACAGTAAAAACAGGTATTGAACCTTGTCCAAGGACAGCTTTTGTTGGTTGTTGATGAATTGCTCCTGAATTCATACAGTGTGCACCTCCTCTTGATCCTTGCTTAGGGTCTGATAGCTATTGCCAATTGCTATCACACTGGCTCCCCTGCCCTTTGTCTCCTTCCTTGCACCTTGGTTGTTTGAGTGAGCATTTAATAGTTTCAACAGTTGAATAGCAAAGATCATGAAAGATTTGAAGTCATAAATATACTCTGCTTTAGACTAAGGGCATCTCGTATTATTTATGTGTAGTATAGTTCTTGCAGAGATAAATTTAGGACTGCGATCACTTGTAAAGGGAAGGCCCTCACACATCATAAATTATCGAGGAGCAGGAATGAGTATGGCAGTAAATATTTTAGAATACAAAAAATTATGCCTTGGATGATAGTGTACAGATAGGCATCAGAGGAGCTTTACATAAGAGGATGAGAAACTAAAGGGCGTTTTGTGAGAGGAGGAGACTTTAGGAACTGGAGATAGTGTGGCAGAAGAATATAAGCTCTATTATCTTATATTCTATTATGAGATTAAAGAAAACATGTGCTGTAATGGCTTATTAAATGAGGAAACAGAATGAGCCTAACTAACCACAACACCTTCCTTGTGCTCAGCAGGAAATAGCTAACACATTCATTTTCTGTTTTCTATTCTAAAGAAAGCCCTGTGGGCCACAGGGTCATTGGGAACAGTCTCTCCTTGGAGCAGATTTGCCCATTGCAAAATAGGGAAGCTGGCACTTGGAAGCTGTCATTGTGGCGGTTACATTGAGCAACTGGGGTTGAATTGTTACTTTGTTCAGTCACTTTCAGCTCTGAGCTGTCTGGGCTCCAGAGGTGTGGTTCCTGGGGAGGTCTTTGAAACTGTGTTTGGGGAGGGGACGTAGGGGTGATGTGCTACGGTATGGAAGAATACTGTGCTTAAAAGCACACTTCTCAGTCACAGTCATCGACCCAAGGATCATCCTGGATTCTTCCCAAAAGGTCCTCATCATGGCTGGGTGCAACTGTGGAGAGAGACCTGAGAGTCTGTGATCTAAGGTAGAGGGTAACTAGGGGTCTGTCCAGAAAAGCAATGCCTAACCAAAGGGGCATCTTTTATAGATTCAAAGTATAGCATTTAATCAAAACGACTACCTCTAGTGGTAAAGAGTAAAATCTTTGCATTTCTAAGAAATTTGCGTATATGGGTATGTTTCTGTGGAAAGGGGTGGTAGAGCTACAAAGGCCTTATAGGGACGGTGTGACGCTGTGCCACGCCACAACTGTGTCCTGTTCTTTACACAGTTCTCTGCTGTAAGAGGGGCTCACACGTTATTTGGTGTAGTTACACCCCGTCTTGTTACTTTCTCGGATATGTGTTTTAAAGCCATTTCCTAATTGAGTATGTTCAGGAGGCAGCAGGAAAGAAGACAGCGGCCTCTTTTGGGACTCGCTGACTTGTGGTCCTCCAGTGTGAGGTGTGCTTCTGGGGACTTGGAAACCAATCTGGCAACCAGATTCACGCATGAGAGGAAGGTGGCTCACAGAACTCAGTATAGCAAAAGTGGTCGCATATTTTTAAAGCGATGTTTATTTGCAGAATCTTTTCTTTCCCAGCCAGCTGGGGAGCCAGCTGTGCTACAGCCTGAAGATGGAAAAGTGAACCAGATTAGACACTGACCAGTGCCAGCGGCTTGGTTATAGGTTCAGGGAGCGAATTGCCACCCTAATGCCATTATTTCTTGGGTGGTTGCTTTCCTCCACAGAGAGCAATTTGTGGGACAGAAATAGCATCTTATCTTTGAGATCTTCTTTGTCCTCCTCACTGCCCCCGGCAGTGTTTGGTACTATGTCTAGTTTAGATACTCTTTTATGTGGATGAAACTCATAAAAGGAGCTTCCAGATTCATGTTGAAACAATCTCAACTTTCTGATCTGTGGCACCAAGTTCTGTGCGGAGGGGGGCAACTGAGTCTGTCGTTAGTCTTTACGCATCACCATGGAAACCCATTTTCTTTCCTTTCCCTCCCCCACCCCCCACCCAAAGGAGGCCTTATCAATTAGAGAACTTGGTGACTCTGAGTGCTAAGATGACCTGAGAGGCGGGGAAGAAAGGTCCTGCAGGAGAAGAAGCTTCCTGGGGGTGGGAGGAGGTAGGCTGCCACACCCCCTCCCAAATTTAAATGCAAATGAAAGAGCTACTTGATTAGCAAATGTTTTGGGATCTTTCCAGTTTACAGTCTAAATGACTAACTTCCTTGTAGCTCCCAGTCAAGGCGTTTGCAGCCGTCTTGCCAGCCTTCATTAACCAGGGCTTTGTAACTGTATTCTCTAGTAACAGCTTGTTTTTAAAATGAAGCTACACTTATGCTTTTTGTATAAGAAACATATTTTTATGGCTCAAAATTCAGCAAGTATATCAGACTATAGAGTGTAAGTTTTCCCTTGTCATGTCCTCAGCTACCCTGCCCTAAACAATTGTAAACATTGCTTAGTTTTGAAATGTGTCTTTTTCTAAAAAGCAGTTTTTGTAGTGTTTAATTGTTTTTTTTAAAAAGTAGATAGAGACTGTTAACTTTGCCATTAAGACAATTTTTTTAATTTTTATGATTTATTTATCTTAATTTATGTGCATTGGTGTGAAGGTGTCAGATCCTTTGGAACTGGATTTTCAGACAGTTGTGAGCTGCCATGTGGGTGCTGGGAATTGAACCCGGGTCCTCTGGAAGAACAGTTAGTGCTCTTAACTGCTGAGCTATTTCTGCAGCCCCCACTAAGACAATTTTATGGTAAATTCTTCCCAGGTTACAACCCAAGATCTCAACTACCCGGGTCCTGCTATTTTCTGAGTCCTCTTCTATGTCAAGTCATCTAGTCAAAGATCTTTCTGTTTCACTTTTCCCACATCTTACCTAACAAATACAATCCTAGGATAAGACACTAAAATCTCAACTCAGTTTTCAGATACTTTGCAGTTAAAACATTCCATGGCCAGGCGTGGTGATACCGGCTTTCAGTCCTAGCATGGTGCCATCCAGCCAAGGATACATGGTATGCTGTTTAAGAAACAATATATATGTGTGTGTGTATATACTTATATATATATCTATAGATGTATCCATATATACAGATTCTCCATGACAGTGGATTTTGTGGGTCTTCACTGCGATGCTGAAGAGCGCCACCAAAAGGCTTGTCTGTGGAAGTGAGGGCTGAGTCTTTTTGTCCATACCTCAGGAGAGTCCCTATGTGAGGAAGCTCAAGATTCCATGTCTGTGCAGAATTTGACCATGCTTGTATGTTGATGATTCTAGAGGGATCTAGAGGGTTACCTGAGAACTGTTAGAATGTCCACCGAGGTAAATGATTGGAATGTTTGAGCAGGTCAGGGAAATGCCTTTTGGGTAAGTAGAGGAGAAAGTAAATATGCAAATATCTAAACAGTGGGACTCCACCCCCTGAGTCGGCTTACTGGCATTTGGTGTTTTAAATATTGACTTGGGAAAGGAATGGTGATATCAATATCAGTCTGGGAAATATTTTTAGATTTTTCTTCCTTTTTTCGAGACATGGTCTCACTATGTAGCCCTGGCTATGTGCCCAGCACCCTGTGCAGTTTTTAACAACATATTCTCGGGTTTTCCTTTTTCAAAGGTTAAAATGGTGTTAGTATAAATTTCACTAAAGATATGCTCCCA